ACATTCCCCTCTTATATATATCCGCCTACCCTATATCTAGTAAGAACTAGAACATTCGCCAAAGTACAGGATAATTCAAGAAAGGAGAGAGCGTGAGAATCACATGATCTTGATGATGCAACACTATATTCAATATAATCATTTAACACAATACCCATATTAATTTACACTTATAAATTTCTATAGTTTCTCTCATAATAAAGAAGTAATGGGAGCTAAAATTCCTGATTGAAACTAAAATAAAGTAAAAACTAACTACAGTACAAAAATTTGACTACTCTACAATGTATTTACTTACATTAGTGTAAAGTTCTAATTTTATGAGAAATTATGTTTGGAATTTGCAATCGTAACATCATTTTTACTAACTACAAGGTAACTCTAAATTTCAAACTCATTTCAAGAGCTTAATTAAACCAATAGTTTTTGTATAAGTACTGCTTACTTTACAAACACACATAGATGATACTCAATGGAAATGTAAGAAAAACTTATCAGAATAAAGGCAAATCTAACTGTTTGAAATTCACATAAATGGTACAAAGTCTTTCTGTGATGTACACATGTAACAGATACTAATAGTTATAGGCATACATAAAAGTATATTTTCTTGCCAAGTTAAACTGTTCTGGTGCAATTATGAAAAATAATTTATCTTTCATTTACAGCTTTGTTTAGATTATTTATATTATTCAAGCTAATCATTTAACTATACTAAACTATATAGAAACTAAAACTAATTTAAATATAACAAAATATACCTCTTAATGCACTTTTAGATATTAGATATTCACAATATTAATAAGCCCAAACACAATAAACTCACATGGCAATGATCATTAAAAAGAAGAGCTCTAACTTTGTCTGCACTTTTACATGTTTTTATAGTCAAAGGATGCATCATGTAATACTTAGGGAGATTTTCTTCATTATTTTGATAAATTTCATTGTCCTTCACTCTCCATAATGCCAGTTTGGTATCTCTTGACCCTGAAAAAAAAGAAAATTTCAAAACAATAATTTTACTGGAAAATATTAGATCTAATCACATATAATTATCAAAAGTGTATTATGAACATATACACATCAGTGTTTTCTCCACTAAAACATCTTACACTTCAATCTGACTACCCCATAAGTGACAACACATCCTTGTAAATGATGCTGCTATTCCTGAAATACAGAGAATATATTCTAAAACTGATAATGACATATGATCATGATGTTTTTTGTCATTTCTATAAATGAAATATGATCAAAATTTCTAATTTGAGATGCGTGAGATGTTAACATTTTCCTTACCTGAAAATATATTTCAGATAGATAATTACCTCTTCACCATTAAGAGCTATTACCTCATGTGCAACTGCCATGGAATTTCCCATGGATGCCACAAGCCTTGAACAAACTCCAAACTCTACACATGTCAAGGTGTATTGTGCCAGTCTATGATGTAATCACAATAATGCTGTAGATCCCCCACCAATAGCACAGGAACACAACCTCCATATGCAGTAATCCCCTTGAGCACTAGCACATAATCATAGGCTCATTTTTGATGTTTGTTTGTTGTGAATTTTGTGCAAATTACATTAGGACTATCTGCGTTAACCGTCCCTAATTTAGCAGTGAAAGAATAGAGGGAAGGTAGCTAGTCATCACCACCCACCGCCAACTCTTGGGCTACTATTTTATCAATGAATAGTAGGATAGACCATCACATTATAATGCCCCCATAGCTGAAAGGGTGAGCATGTTTGGTGGGATGGGGATTCAAACCTGTGACCCTCAGATTGCAAGTCAAGCACCCTAGCCACCTGGCCATGCCAGGCCCATTCTTGATGAGGCAAACAAAATGCACCAGAAGTGGGAAGGAAGGATGGGAGATCGTTCAGAGAGATAAATATCTGTCTGAAATACATCTTCAGGTAAAGAATATGTTAACTTCAGACATTTTACTTGCCTCTCTGCACCACTAAGAGCTAGAATCTACAGTGAAAGTGGTTGAGGAGCCAATGTTTATCAATTACAGAGATGAGCTCCTTTCTGAAATAGCAACAGAAAGGTTAAACCCATGATGTGCGACTTCTATGAGATTGGGAGAGTCACCTTGTGAAGCAGCACCCAGTGGGAGACTGTGTACTTCTCAAGCAGGAAATACTCTTCCCCAATAGCTTTTTTAAGGACTGAAATAGTAGAGCAAAGGATATCAGGAAAATCCAGTGCTGTTGGTAACATGTTGTCAAGGCAGACATAATGTTAAATGCTATAGGCTATTGTCTTGATTAAATACTTATGAAAAAGATACTATAAGGACAGGCAGAGGGAGGAGGCACTCTAACCTGCATCCCAAGTTCCATCTAGCTGGACATATCCACTGAAAACTATTTAGGAGATACTGTAATGAGGCATCCTGTACTACACTTCCAAGGAACACCCCAGCCTACATCTCAAACAATGGGTGGGCCCAACAGGTCTCTTACTGGGAAGAAAGACACCACTCATAAAGGAAACTCTCCATGTCAGCATACGCAATAGCTTGGGACTGGAAAAGTAAGGATTCCCTTGTGCATATTGGAGGAAGAAAACAAAGAATGTGCATGTACTACTGTCATTAGGCATAATAATCAGGAATTGGGTCCCAACTGAGAGACAGTACAATGGGTTACTATGACGAAAGACAGTAAGTGCAATGCACTGTAAGAGCAGGAAAACACCTGGTGCTGTCTTTTTTTTTAAGGTGCAAAAATGGCCATGTTAATTCTATAATTATACTAATGAAGCAGTCTTGCAAAAATCTCCATCTTAATAGTGGCAGATGGACTTAACACTTGCTGCATTCCTTTGCTCAATGCAAATTTTAGGTAAATATTCCCCGAGTCAGTATTGACCACTGAGCAGAATCCAATGACACCAAAAATAATGAATGGAGTTTTCAATTCCACATGCTTTTTGTGTATGTGTGTTTTGCTTCCTCCTTTGTTCTTTTTCTGTTTGTTGAATGTGTACAAAAAGAATGGTAGACACATGATGATATCATGAAATGTGTGATGGACATGGAGATCAAATTAGATCACCAAAGAAATTGGAAATGAACATCAACAGGCAAAACTCACCACAATAGAGCCTCTGAATAAAGAGGAGAATGGCAACCAGAGGTGCCATGATGTAAATAATAGGGGATGGATGTATTAGAAGTCCACATACCAACCTGCATGATCTACAACAAAAGTTGGTACCATGTAGACACATGTATGGGTTGGAGTTTTTTTCAAGGCTTGTGACATGCACAGGAATTCCACAACAGCTGCACATGAGGTAATAACTCTTAGTGGTGCAGAGAGGTAAGCAATATTTCTGAAATGAAAATCTGGTTTAATTAAACTGTTATTTGAACTAATGTATCCAAAACTCAAGTAAAATTCTGCATGAAACCTGATACTGTTTATGAAGATGCATTTGCAGTGGTACCATTCACCCTATAAATGAACCTATGGATCAAAGAAAAACCTATGGAAAGCTTATAGCACTTCAATATTATATGTTTAACTTAAAAAATAAAATGTTATGTGTGTGTGTGTGTGTGTGTGTGTCTCTAGATAATCATATTGTAATTCTGGTTAGCATAAAAAATTATTGTAGTTTCTTAGACACACAAGTTTCTTTCCAGATTATGTATAACACTGTAAACCAATATTCATGAGACACTGTCAGTTATACTATACAGCTTAAATAAACAGACAGCTTTACAACACATCTTTTCTAAATAAGACTTAACATGTAAATACAGTTTACTTCTGCTTTCAGTGTTGTAAAATATTTCTGGAATGTATATAAGTCAGGAAACTACTAATTAGCTTAATGACTGAACAGGTTTAATTTAATGGGAAACTTTACTATTCATTACATGGCTTTTTTCAGTCATTTCTCTACATATTAGTGCATTTTCAGCAGCACCTAGTTGAAATTTTTATATAATTTACCAGGAAGAGTATAACCTAAAATCTACTACAGATACTAGAAAGTATGAGGTTATAACTAATTGATCTTTTATAGAGAAGATTACTAAGGAGTATTAAACTTAGTATAAGTAACACGTTTTGTATTTATGTACATAAAAGTTCTACTAATTTTGATATCTGCCAAATCACATGGACCTACCTTCATTTTTTAAACAAACTAATATTATTAATGTTAATTTAAATAATTTTAGTATTGTAAATGAGTATTACAGTTTTCTAAGTAAACATCTTAATGTTTATCATTCTGAGTGTATTATATTAGTCTTTCACTAGATAACTGGTCATCACCAACTCTAGTTTTTTTTAGCATAATGCATTACTGTCTTATCAACAACAATCAATTTAGTAGCCCTAGTTATTTTTGTTTTAGATTCTAGTGAAATTAAATTCATATCAGTAAAGTTAACATTTTCCTAGATTGAAAATGTATTTCCAATAATACATACCTCTGCTGATATATAGAGCTATTACGTGAATGTCAGGGTTTCAACTTTGCCCATCTAAGCATTGGTCTGATTTTTTCTCACTTGCTTCAGTCTTTTATACTCAACTCAATTACCCTTGGTGATATTTGTCTCGCGATGCTCTCCACCTACGGCAATGCACTCTCTATCCTGGTACTGTACATAAGCACCTCATTCAGATAATTTTATCACTTTTTTCGAGACTGATACTATAACCAGTCTCTAACACTGGCTCTTAGTGGGGAGGAAGAGCAGAAGTGTGTCGGTGGAGGTAAGTATTATTGGAAATACATTTTCAATTTAGGAAAATGATAACTTCCAAAACATACTTACCTCCACTGCCACTGATAGCTAGAATCCCACATTGAGAAGATGGAGGGACCTGTGAGGGCATTATTTGTACAGAAAACATCTGCGTAGATCATGAAGAATGGTACCCGAGTGGGAGAACCACAATACATCCAGAACAGGTACGCTCTTCATCCTGAACTTAGTTCTTCTATCAAGGGTGGAATTGTACACGAGTAATCATCACTATAGGCCAGCCCCAACCAGACAGCTGAGGTTCCAACACTCGGGCTTGGAATTAGGGGGTCTTGGTCCCTATATACCACATTAGTTACTAGGGCAATTGGACCGCAACTATATATAGATATATCTTTGACTGGATCCCAACCTGTAGCCGTAAAGTGATGTGTTCTGAACCACCAAAATCACAACAAGAAGGTATGCACCACCTAAGCAGACAAACCTTATCCTCCACCTGAAGAAGCCCAAAAGGTAACAGCCCAGGCTCAGAATGACAGGATTGTGTATGCCTTACTCAACCAAAGGAACAGAAGTTATCCAGTCTGGAATTATGAACATTCGTCCTCACTCCTCAACCAAGTGGACAAGGAGCCTTCCACTTACCTCTAGAATTATGGGGAGGATGTGGAACAACTGTGCTCAAACAAGGACCCAGGATGGGACCACTCCACATTCGGAATTATGGAGAGATAGCGGACCTCCTTCCATGAACAATATACTGAACAGATATTGATCAATTGAACACACCCCAACTGGATAGCCAAGCATCAAATCTAAACTGGTATTATGAGTAGGCTCTCATGTAGGCTGGTAATGCTCCTACCAACATTTGGGAAAAACATCCATGGACCCAGGTAGGAGGGCCCCCAACTTCACCCTCTTTTCCAAGAGTGGAAGAATTTGCTCAAACACTCTGGAGGAAAAGCCTCTGTCCACCAACATAGTGACTGGAAACCAGGTGTGGTAAGGACTCCCTAGCTCTACTAGTAGAATCTGGGGGGGTAATGTGTGTTGGGGAGTCCTGAGGAACAGTGCAATAAGTGAACAAAGTCCCTAAATTTCTAAAAGCAAACTGACCCCAATTTATTCGATCTGATGATCAGCAGAGATTGGCAGGATCCCCTTCAGCTTTACTCATAATAGTCCATGAGTGGCAGTACACCATAATATGGTAATACCATCTGGTGAGCTCCTA